AGAAAAGGGTTGTAGGAACTTTGGGATCCTTTAAGGTTGTGGGACCGGGCTCCTAGGCAGGGTCCTAGGCAGCATATTCACAGATGATGATGCGAATGCACGAGCAGTTTGATTTTTCCAACATAGCTCGCTTCATCTGGAGCCAAATGCTTCAAGCTTGCACTTTCTCAGGGTCGAGCCCACGGTCGGAACCCTGGACAGGACAAAACCGCAAGGTCTCGTTACCGCTGCGTCTTGGCAAGAGGACATGTGAACAAGGATCTCCACTTGCCTGCCTCTGGGCGTGTGAAGACCTCCCGTGTGGCGTGCGGCGCCCTTGCAGCGGCTGATATGTAGCCACATGGCGTTGCATGAATCGACATGTAGTTGCTACCAGTCAGGGCATCTCAGGCATGCACGGATAGGAGGCTGCGCGCGTGGACTCAGTCTTGTTGCGGTCTTCTGCCTGACACGAGTTTGAGCCAGAGAAAGGAAAGACACGGAGGGACAACCCATTGCCCTATCGGTATCTGTCTGCTCAACTTCCTTACCACTCCTATCGGCAGCTTAGAATCGCTCGCGAAAGCTCATGATTACCCTCAAGAAGCGCGCCTCCTTCTGCATCCTTGGCAGGGTGAGGAGTATGTCGCTGGCATGCACTCTGAAGCAAGTTCCAAGCTTGACTGGCCCGGGTCCTGCTGAGATCTTGGAAGGACGGGAAGCCAGCTGGCCCACTGGGTGCCTGCAGCAGCGAAACTGCCTTGTTTTTGCACGGCTCGCTCATCAGAACGCTGCCTGCCGTGGTAGCGTGTTGCCATTTGCGCTACCTCTCTCACAGACAGACCGGTTGCCCTCAAGAAAGACAGGATAATGAGTGCGCTGCTGGTTGGTGTTCCAGGTTCTGCTCGACCCTGATCTTTCGAAGCCTGATAGGCCAAGGGCCGTAAATTGGTGAACGATAAGCTCTCAAGTTTGCACAGCCTGCCGTGGCGCAGCTGCACCAGCCGGCTTTCGCAGGTCTTCTTTGATGCCCTGGACCACGCATCAAGCATTGAGCCTGGAGTTACTCCCGTTCTGCAAGTAGCGCCTTCACCTCTGGATAGGAACTGGCATCTGCCTGTTGTCAGTCGCAAGCCAGGCGGGCTTTTGCTGGCGGTTGCTGGCAGGTGCTGGCACCTTCGGCTGCTGGGCATTGGCTTTCTGAAGGTAGCTGACATCCTGTGAACAAGCAGCTCGGCTGGACTGTGACAGAACATCTTTAAAGCTGCTAAGCTTTCTGCTGGAAGGCCAGGTGGTGCCCTCGGCTCCTCAGCTGAGGCACTGCATCGTTTGCAAGAATTGATCTTTCTTTTGGTGCCTTCAGCTTCACCTCCACCTGCTCGGTGAGGCTCTGATGCTGCTGCCGTAATTCCTAAGACCATGACAAGTGAGGTTGGGTTTTTCTGATGTTTCCGAGAGTCTCTAGGGGCCTCCTGCGCCTGCACTAGGCTTTCCTCGGTCGCGGCAACGCGCTTCTTGGCCTAGCAAGTGCAAGCACACCAGCGCACAAAGCACCAGCAGCTGTCATCATGCATTGCTGGCCTCGTCCACTTCTTTTAAAGCTGATCGTGCTGCGATCTGCTGCTGTGGGTTGAGGGGAATAAGCTTCTCATACCTGCCCAGGAACATGGTATCTTGTCTCGATTGCCAGCTGATTTGGCATGCTTTTGTCTTCTGAAGGCAGGTCACTCTGTGCTGACAATCGTCCCGCTGCTTGACATTCGAACCTTCCATGCTTTCCAGGTTTTCCATGCTTTCCATGCAGGACGTTGCAGGACGTGCTATGCATGTGGCTTCGTCCAAACTATGAGACTGCACAGCTGTGGCAGCATGGCCTCGAAGCAAGGAGGCTGGACGTCCATCTGCACCTGTCTTTGCCCAGCCGCACGATACTTAGCATGCGATGGAACAACCAAGGCCATGGGCACCATGCTGAGTTCGCAGAAGCCTTTGCCTCTTCTGACTGCCATGTCGCCTCTGCAAGCTTCCAGTACTGCAGGAGTGCGCCAGAGCTTGGAGTTATCTGATGTGGGCCTAGCTTCCATCGCACATTGGAAGTTCCGGCGCTGGCCTGCAAGGTCTGCAATCCTCACTACTATCCCTGACGCCCCCTGACTGAGTGTGCGTCTTGCAGGTCGTTGTGTGCGTGCCTCCACTTTCCGCCGCAAGTCTTCCAGGGCAGCCTGCTTGTCTTCCAGGCTCGAGGTTGCACTGTCCACCTGCTTGCAAAAAGGGCTCGCTGCCTTTGGGCCATTTTGGGGCTGCTGCAGGGCCTGCTCCTGCAGCACATTGGTCCGCTTCACAGACCGTTCGACAGCATCCTGGCCGTCACTTCACAGCTCTCTCTCTAAGGGCTTTGCCAGCCAGCCTTGAGCTCTGCAAGGCCAAACAGGGAGTTCATTTCTTGCTTGCCCTGACATTCAAGGCAAAACCCCTGCCAGGATGATGGAAACGGTGCCCGGTGCCTTGATGCCGCCCTTACGAGCCATTAAATCATCCCAGACCTGTGCTGCAGCTGCACGTTGAGCCCTGCCCTTAGCCGCTAGCAGCAAAGCTGAAGTTTTGCAGAGGCCTTATTTGCTGCATCGGCGAGATTGGAGAAGCCTGTGAGGTCGTTGTCCTCATCATCATCCTGACGGCTTGCACTAACAGCATCACAGGAAACTCTACACTCTCTGGTGGGTTGCCTGGTGTGTTGTGCTTGATGGGGAAGTCGGAGCCTTGTGCCAAGCGGTTGCGATCAAGAAAGCCTATGTTCTGAACAAGGACAAGCAAGGTAAGGACTCGACAATGCCTGCGCCTCCTTTACCACTGGCCAGACCTACTGCCTCAGCAAAAGAGCTGCCAACACGAACCGGACTTGGCGCAGTCGTTTGCATGATTGTTGCATAGCGGTTGGCATTCCAAACAGCCTATGGCGCGTCATCGCTTGGGCCCCAGACCGGGCCAGCTGCTCCACTCAGGCCCTTTGGCCCGCCCTGAGCTGTACGCTGCAATGCGACCCGCGAAATGGAATGCAGACGATCAATCCAAGTCATCGGCCGCCAGCCAAGTCTCTGCAGCTTTGGCAGCATCTTTGGGTTGGGGAACGGCCTGGCATTCTGCAAGAAACTCCGAAGACTTGGAGACGCTTTCTTGCGTGCTACGCGCGGATGCTGTTTTGACACCAGTGCCAGCTCAAATCCATCGCACCCCCCATGTGATCACTTCACGATGCAGAAGGGTCCTTAGTAGCTGCTGGGAAAGAGCTACTTGCAGTCTGCGACAAATGCAACACAGAAGCAAACTTGGACCCAAACAAATGTCCACCACCACCGGGCCATGAATCAGTGTCTCAGCAGGGGCTGTGAAGGTAAGGGGTGCGGTCCCGCTTGGCACAAAATCCCCTGCTGCACTCTGCTATGTCATGCTGAGCATCAGGCGCGCTCCTGTTTCCCGCCTTAAAGAGGCACCAAGCCACACGATCAAACTCTTGTGGCCACCAATCAAGATAACAAAGGGGAAAGTCTGGCCAAAGCCGGCAGACTTCAGCCAGGTGGCTGCCGCAGTTTGCGGCGTTGATCAGGATGGTTGAGCTGCGCCTCAGCGTTGGCGGCCAGCAACTGGCAATTGGATCAGAGGCCATCAAGGTATTGCAACATGTGCCCTTGCACAGGGACGCCAACTGATCTGCGGGCCGGTGTTTCAGCAGCGCCGCCCCTTGGCACTTAGTGTGAGACACCGTTGCAAAACAAGCGCTGACGCCAACCTCGTGCAAAGTGTATGTGGCCAGAGATGACAAGGGTTGGCTGAATTCTTCTCACCGCCTGCGTGGCAATCTTAGTACGGCGAAGCATCAATCTCTACCAATGAATGAAACTTTACCTGCGCTCCTGCAGCAAAGCGGAGCATCCTTTGTCTCCGTCTGCACAGCCTTTGGCAGGCCCATGAGCCAGTACTACATCCTCAGCATGCAAGAGAGCACTGTGCTCTTTGTGCTCTTGCTTGCTCTTGCTAGGTTTAGCAAGGGCACTGTGCCAGCTGGTATCTGACCAAAGTAAGGGTTCTCGCCTTGACCTGAGCGTGAACCGAGTCTGCTGCGCATTGTGAAGTACACGTGTATCTCAGGCGCAAGCAAGGCCAAAAGAAGTCAGTACCGAAAAAACGAAGTGGAGTTTCTGAGCCGGGGACCTTGAGAAACAGATCTTGCTGCATGCGCGACACCGGCCACACACTTCAAGGCCTTCAAGTCGAAGCTTGATTGTCGAAGAACGGCGGCGCTGGAGAGCCTTGCAAGTGTTCCTGCGATATGGCTGAAGCATCGACAATGGCGCCAGAACAGCTAAGAGCCACACACCTCCTCAGCACGCTTTGCCCAGTCCCTGGAGTTTGAGACGGATGCTATTAGCAGGTCAGGCAGATACAGTCGCTGTGAAGCAAATGGGTGGCTTGCGCGTTGGATTCGTGGTTGCCGAGAATGACAAGTTTGACTCGGTGCCTCAATATGTCAGAAACAAGCGCTCAAGACAAAGGCCGCATGGTGAGATGTCGCTGCTCTCTGGGATCGTGGCTGCTGATCTGCTATCCAACTATTGAAATCTTGCGCATGCTCCTCTCGCCCATATTGGGTGAAGTCGCCTGCGTGTATCAAGACCTCAGGAGGGGGGGCTACTCGGCCACTGCGCTGGCCGCGTGTTTGGAGCTTGCGTGAGTTGCCACAAACAGCCCTGCGTAGACTGCGACGCGACGCAGACCAAACGAACCCCAATGCGAACAGAGCGAAATCTGCATACAGTACTTGGACCGCCGCATCTCCGTCGGGCAACATCAGTTCTCGATGCTTGCCGTGTGTGTCGCTGATGCAGACTAGGCGAAGTCTCCTCTGCCGGCTAAACTACAACTTCCATATTCATGAGACTGCATGCAGTAGTCACAGTAGTCCTTTTGCTTGCGGTGTCTTGCTCAACTCGCTCGCATCCCAGCTCCTGCCCAGAGTCTGATATCAATTTTCAAGTCCGTCTAAGGTGAAACTGCAGCTGAAGCACCTCATCCTGCACAAGAGGGAGCTGTTGTGGCCTTGAGTGCCTGCAGAGGTGTTTGCTTCCAAGCTTGCGCGTTGAATGCTCGCAGACTGAGACTCCAAACTGGCGGCCACGAGCGCAGCGGCGACCTTCAGGATCAGGTGACACTGTGGGCGGGCTTGAGCTGGCTGGTGGAATGTTCTGCGCTGCTTGTGGCTCTAAGCAAAGAGCACATCTCCACCGCTGCAACGAAGATGCCCGCAAGGATGATGGCAGATGCACTCTGCCAGGCCTGATCTGCTGAAGTCAAACTGATTCAATCAAGTAGGTGGAGTGAACACTAATAAGTAAGAATTTGCCCAGCATGCCTCCATCGTGCCATGGGCTGTCAGCAGCTCCGACAATGCTGTTTCTGCATTCGCTTAGATTGCAATTCTTAATCCGACTTTCTGCAAGGAGGCTGCTGGTCATTGCTTGCACAGCCTGCTAAGGCTGCTGTTGAATCTGAATTTGAGTGAGGGCAGGCAAGTCAGCGTGGACAACGCATCCAAAAACAAACAGCTTCAGTCTTGCTGCGCCTTCTCCTTGCTGGCTGCACCTCCCTTCTGCTTCGGCTTGCGCCATGTGTCATGATCAGCCTGACATGCTGTGAACTGGAAACTGGGCGAGCTCGTCAAAGAGGAGCTGAAAACTAACAACTGGATATGGCCTCTGGCCGTGTGCGATAGCGCCTGCACGCCCAAGACCCTCCATTCTCTCTGCGCCAGCTTTTCAGAACACAATTGTGTACCTGAGGACGCCATTGCCCATGATGTCATGGAGCTAACCTGGCCGTCACCTCGCAGGGGATAATCTTACCTCGGCTTCGCGTATAGGGTGTCTTGCCAGCCTTGACGCCCTGCCGCATGCTCATTGGGCCGGAAACGCTCCGAAGCCCAGTTGTGTGCTATTGAGTGCTGGCAGCGCTGGGTGTCTACATGGATCCCTGAAGTAGTCCTTATGCAATCCCCGAACAATCTTATCCATCACTAGTTTTACAGCTGGGTTTGGCTCCGCCTTGCTTTCTTCCAAGTGCTTGGGCTGCTTGGACATCATGCATGGCTTCATTTGCCCACAAAAGCTGCGAATAGCGGCAGTTGGAGTCGAAAGGGCTTCCTGACAGCTGACAGCAAAAAGGAAGGCCAAGTGTGGCCATAAATGTGCCAGCCACAATACATGTGCATATGGTACTGCACTCCGGGAATAGTGACCACGAATGACTTTGCAGAGAACTGAATCATGGTTGACAGAACCACTCTGGCAAATCTTACATGGGAGCAAAAACGGAACTGAAGTTGAAAAGCCCCTCAATATCATGTTTTTTCTTGGAAGGAGGGCTGGTCTCGTCTTCAATATTCCCCTGACACAAAAGTGGACTTTTCTGTCAGCTTCCAGGACGTCTTCTTTCGAGATGTCGGTCGGCCCTTGTGGGCGCTGGCTCATGAGCAACACAGCGCCTCCCTCATGCCCCCGGACAATATTCCGAAGCCTCAGCGCATGGAGTTTGACCATGAACCAGGCAGCAGCATGCCTTAAAAGACATCTACACGCCAACGCAAACTCTGGGGCCTGTCCAGCAGTGATGCCTCTGTGGGCATACTGTCAGAGCCCGAGCAGTAGGAGCATCCTTCGATGATTCCGCAATCTGCCAAGCTGCAACTGCTCCGAATGAAATCAAGACTAGGGGCTGTCGGGCCGGCATGCTGTTTCAACAAGGGTGTGCCTGGCCGGCAAGACACAGGAAGGCCCGCTGACGGATACAGAAGTGGCGATTATGAGTGATGAGTTTCGGGAATTCTTGCCGTCAAGTTGCTCAGCCGGGTGAATCAGCCCAAGCGTGTCGAGCTGCTCCAGAAAGCGACAGCCTGCGTTGCTGGCTGCCGAACTCCTGTTGCTGGCTGTTGCGCAAAATGCACATGTAAAACTTGGCCAGGTGACTCATGTCTGCATCTCGAATGGCAAGCGAAACCGCCCAGAAGCCTCCTCAGACAGGCCAGCTTGCCAGAAGCTTGAGAAACCATCATTTGAGCTATAGTCTACACTGCTTCAAAGGGGGTTCTATAGGGCATTATCCGCCGACCTATAGGGGAGTGTTATAGGGGTTACTAGGAGGATACTAGGAATTTAGACTATAGCTTGTTTGAGACTGCAGTCCTGGCTTTAGCCAGCGCTGCATGACTCTCGGCAGGAGCATGGCATGGTGCTCCTCGTACACAACCTTAGCGTGGATTCGGAACTAAGTAGCGGGTCCCCTTTGCTTCCTTATAGCCAAGTCACGTCGCTCGCTAGTGCCAGGTCGAAACTATTCAGCTGTAGTTCATCCAAACGTTCCCAGTCCGAGCTGGCCGCCACGTTTTCTGGTGATCCCGAGTCGATGCTCCACGCTGCAGGATTTGTCCCAACATCCGAGATCCAGTCCAGGAAGCGCACATGAAGATCAGGCGAACTCGCCTGGTCCGGAGCTTTTGCCATCAACTTGGCAGCGTGCGCCGTCAGATTCTTTAAGTGGCCTGGCAAGCAGTCCGTAAGTGTAGTGTGGTATCCAGCAGCACGCGCTGCCAAGCCTGCAAGGCCAAGTCCACATCCAAACTCAATGGCCCTCAGCTTCTCGCGCGCAGCTTCCGCCCGCTCAGCGATGCCAGTGCCACGCTGCGCCACTTTCAAGGCCAGCCACAAGGCTGATGGAGAGAAGCGGCAGCCGGTCCATCCTTCCAAAGCGAAGGTTGACCAAGTGGCAGATTACATGCTATGCAACATTACTGCATATGACTACGTAATACCCTTCTTGATGTTTTCAGGTTGCCCAAAAAAATCGAGAAGCTCTGCTTGGATCGTCTTGTAGACCTTCTTTATGGCAGAAGCCGAAAGCCGACCGAAGCCAGCAGCTCGCCACTCTCTACAAAACGGAGATTGAACTTAGCCTACATGTGCGTGCTTAAACTTGTACATGGAGTCTTCCCTTTCCTCTGTGCGGTGTGCGAGCTGGGAGGCTTTCAACCAGCGGGCCAGATGAATGTTGAAGCCTTGTGCCGAACCCTTGCAGGACACCAACTGGCTTTGGCTCCAGCTCTCATCTATGAATGACTGGCCCTCTTGTAGAATCTTTAGAGACAAACGTCCACATGAAGCAGCCAACCACGAGTACTGATTTTCTTAACACTGTTGTCCCATGGATTTGACCCCCTCCCATCCTCCAGCCGGGGTCCAAATCCATCCCAAAATATTGTTAAGAAAATGTGTACTGAATTTCTTCAAGCTATCTCCACATCCCTTCCGTCCTCCAATGGAGCACCGTATAGGGAACCCATGACCCCAATGCAAAGTGGGGTACTAGCACCTGCTCGCTGCAAATATCTGCAAATGCTGCAGCATAGTACGAAAATGCTAAGAAAATGAATGGGCACTGGATTTTGATGGATACTTTCTCATGGTAGAGCAAGCTAAGAAAATTAGTGACCTCTGCTCGCACACCAGCTCAGTCTGGATGAAGACAGGTGAAGGTCTGCAACCCAAAGAAGGGAATCTCTAAGAGTTCACCCCCTACCCCTCGAGGAAACTGGAGCAGCCCTGAGAGTCAGATGTGGATGGTTTCAGTAGACGGCCTTGCAACTCAGAAAGGGGGGGGTTAAGGGGGGTACCCCGGCTGTGTCCCTCCAGGTCCCCTCCTCCACGACAGCGTTTCAGCCGACACCCATTCGCCAGGCTCCCTCCAGTAGATTTTGCAGAAACGGGTGTGCGCGCCTGCAACCTCCGCCTGGGGGCCGGGCCCCAAACCCCTGAAACCCAGCCCCCCACGGGCAGGGCGTGCTGGATGGTGGCCCGAGCCTTTGAAGGGCCTGGGCCCCAAGCCTCTGACCCCAAACCCTAACATGTCTTAGGCAGCTGGCACCTTGCGTGTTGTATTTCCTGTCTTGTCAAGCAGAGGAGGTCCAAAGGCCTAGGTGTCAGGCTGGGGGCTGCCCGAGCATGCTCATCAGGGGCCACCCCAAGCTAGGCTCATGAAAGCCTGGACAAGTAGTGCAGTGTTGGTCCTGACACGGTCCCGGCAACCTGGTTTGCTGCACGGATTGATTTCCTGCGCGCAGTCCCGGCAGCCTAGTTTGAACTAACCTTGTTGCGTCGAAACATCAAGGTTTAGGGTTTAGATTTTAGCCGTGGCGACTTCTCCGCGCATAATTGGGCGACCCAAGCCCCAGGTCCCTGAGGGCCTGGGCTTCCGACCCCTGGGGCCAGGTCCCAAACCCCTAGGCTGAGCATGCTGATCAGGGTGCCCACCTCTGCCAGGCTCTCATCAAGGATTGGACACATCTGCAACAATAATGCAGTGTTGGTCGTGCACAGTCCCGGCANNTGCTGAGTCCCGGCAGCCTAGTTTGGACTAATCTTGTTGCGCCTATTGGTCTCGTGCCAGCCGCACCCTCAGGTTTAGGGTTTAGGCTTTCGCGATTTCTCCGCCTCTGGGTCGGCGGACTGAGCCAAAGGCTCTTAAGTCCGGCCTGGCCGTCGTGGTCCAGTCCGGATGCACGCCTAGCTAAGCTACACTTATACGGGGTGACGCCCATGCCGACGACCCCCTCCCTTGGAAGCCGTGGAGGCGTGGTTTTGGGGGGTCAAAAATTAAGGTGATTTTCAGACGTGTTTTTGAGGCTTCCCCCCACGCTACGGAGTGTTTTGGGCATTGTTTTAAGCCAGCATCATCAGCACAATTGGGCCTTCGTTTTTCACTTTTGGCCACCTCAACATACCTAAAGTTTTGGAGGGGTTTTGAAGCCTCATACGTGCGTGTCAAGAATGAAATTGGGGGCCCAAACAGGCCCCATGATGCTCATGATGCTGGCTCTTGGAGGCTGCAGGGCGCTTAAAATGCGCTAGAGACCCCAACAGAACGCCCAAAATACACGCTGTGGGCAGTGTTTGTGGCTGTAAAAACCAGTGTTGGTAGGATCTGCAGTGTATGACAAGCATGAGACGGGTTTGGCATGCATCACCCCGGCCAAACCGTCTTAAATGTGCATGTTGCATGGTTTTTGGGTGTGTTTTGCCGGTATTTCCAGCACTTGTGTGGCTCCTGAGCTTGTCCAATGTGTGAAATGTGGCTGCTTGGCAGGTGATTTGCTCAAAAAATGCACTTGTGGGCTAGAACATGGTCAGCCTGCACAGAAAACCATGTCTTAAGTCATCTTTGATGGCTTTCCTTGGGTTTTTGACCCCTCCTGGTCCCAATCAAGCCAAAATGGGGTCCCAATTGTGCAGCTGACGTTCCTGTACGAGGCACAGGCACGTGCGCACCTCGTACAGGAACATCATCAGCACAATTTGGATCCCACTTTGGCCTGCTTCCAGTTAAAATACAGAGAAAGTACAGAGAACAGGGTCTTCAAAACCTAAAAAAACATCCCAGGTAGCAAGAACATAACTTTTTCGTGCACTTCTCTCAATCAGGAGCATCAGCAGGGCTGGGGTGGGCTTGGCTTTCACTTGATAGCTGGGTGGGCAAGGAGGCCGGCACCTGCCGCCAGGCCCCAAATAAAGCTAAAGGTAAATTTAATGTCAAGCCCCTGGAAAACATGCAAAAAAAGAACTTTCAGACTGCATGGCCCAAACCTTAAGATCTCAGTTGCGGAACCTGAAGCCTGGTGACCGCAAGCTCGGCGCTGCCGACTTAAACCGAAGTGATTGCAAGGGCAGCATTGCTTTGCTTTGTTTATTGGTATCTTCTAGCTTGACCTAATTCTGCCAGTTTGGTCGGCTGCTTAACTTCACCCAGCCTTCCGCCATGCTGGTCTCCTGCACCTCCACCACAGGCCCACCCGGTGCGATCTCAACGGAGACTGCCAGACACTCACCACCTTCTCGTCCGGCCTTCTTGCTACAGAGCAGCCGCATGCGAGAAGGGTTTGCAAAGCACCGTCGCAGAAACGTGGAGGCATCATCATGTGACACGTGGCGGGATTTCATGGGAGCATCTTGCTGTGCCCTTGGACTACACATGAAACTGCTGCAATCCCCGGGCCAAGGAGGGCTACTTGCTCCTGTGGTCCTCAAATGGACCATAATGGATCTACATGGGTGTCTGGACGACGTTTAGACCTACTTGGGCCTAGAGACACACATATGTCGCCGAATGTCTCCACGGTGTTGGCCTTGCATCAGCAGCAAACACATCCCATTTAGTCCCTATAAACCTCTACTATAATCCCTGTAGTTTCTATTTTCTTTTCCATCATCCCTATATAACCCCAATCTATCCCCTATATACACCCTATTACAGTAGAGTAGTTTCCATGGTCTTTTCCATTATCCCTATATAACCCTTATATAACCCCTATATTCTCTGGCAAGACACCAATTTTTACAAGGCGCATGCTCTGATGGTCTTGGATTGCACCCACAGATTGGATCCATGAAATTGAACGGCTATTATTACAACTACTAGTACTACTACTAGTACTATTATTCTTATAACTATTATTATTATTATTACTATGTTATCTGCAAGATGCTTGTGGTCTAAGTGTCCCGTCATTCAGAATTCCATGGCCCAGTATGGTATGTATACACAACGCACCTGCAGTTCCAGCTTTGCTTCAACTGCAAGTGTCTCGACTGTTTCCAGATTCCTGCAAGCCGCAGATGTTGTGCAGCTGCAGCCGTCCTGTAGTCACAGTTTTGGCAACACTCCCCGTTTAGGAGCAGAGGAAAATCATGGCGGCTTCTCAGGAATGGTACATTAACAAGGTGCCCAGTCAGGCATGCGTCGGATGGTCTGGATGTGTAGTCAGTGAGATCATCTGTGGCGCAGCGGACTATCCATCGCATATCCCCTTTTCTGAAAAGGCGTGACTATGTGGCAAGGTGAAACGGATCATCGAGCTGAATCACCTTTCGGTCCTTCAGGCGTAGGCTCTCTGCTTAAGCGCGGTGTGGGAGCCCTGGGTGCCCTCAGAGCAAGCCACTGCCTACAGCTAGAGAAGATGCGCTATCTGAGCTGGCCACTCGTCTGGACCGTTTTCCATCTCCTGCACCTGCTGCACTGCAGAGTCCTGAAAAAAGAAGGGAATCACAAGTGCGTGGTCCGAAGATCTACATGACGTCCTCAGATGGACCAGCTGCTGCCTTGATAAACTCGACAAGCTAAAATGACAAGCTGGAATCTGCACATTTCCCCACCTGCGACCGCGCAGGTGCAGCTGCTCCAGCCGCGGCGTCCGCAGCAAGAGCCTGGAGGCCCGTCCGCAGAGGGGAATCCAGCTCATGGTCGCATGGACTGGGGTCGAAGCGGCTTCAGGAGCTTGGTTGGACGGACCGCCTCGCTGTCGTGACCACGCAAAAAACCCATCAGAAAGCGCAGCGTGAGTAAACGGACCGCCGCCTCTGCCTGCTTCTCTGGTTCTGCTTCGAGCCGCAGTGGGGAAATACACCTATTCAAGGCGCCAGGTAGGTCTTGCGCGAAAGACTAAAACTAGCGCGAAGCACAGACTCCATCATCAGCCGGGATGCTCTGGCACTGCAGCCGCCAGGCTGTGCAGCTCTGCTGTCTGGCGCTGCTGGTGAGCTTGGTGGACCTGTTGTCAGAAATCTATGAAGTCGGGAGCGACGTGGCTGCTCTGATTGGCTTAGGCCGCAGCTCCGGCGCTCGATGAGAGCCTCCCGGCAGGCGACTAGATTTATTGTCACGCGTCTAAAAACATAGGGATTAGATGGGGGTATATCATGGGTTTAGGGGGGCATTTCCCTTTGATGGAGAAGATCATGAAAAGTACGATGGAACGTGAAATGGAGAGTGGAAGTATATAGCGGTTCAATCAGAATGTGTCAAATTGCCATTGCAAGAATGGCACATGGGTGCTGAGTGACCGGCGATCTCTGCGTCTGTGAAGCCCTGTGCTCGGAAGGCGCTGTCAGACCGGCAGCGGTTGCTGGGAAGGCTCATGGCCTTTCAAGTACCGAGAAAATGACAATTTCTGTGAAGGCTGGCAAATGCATAAAGCTCCCTTGGCCTTGGCCGGTGGACTCGGTGGTGGGGTGGGCCTCGGAAGCGGCCGCGCCTAGCGAAAGCGAGTTTACTCTCATGAACTGCTTCAGAATTAGAAAGCACTTCTTCTCGGAGCCTTGTCGGGAACCTGTCTCGGCGCTTCGTTCTCTTGCTCTTCGGGTGCTTGGGTCGACTGCGGAGGTGGAGGCAGCTTCGCGTCCGCTTCAGCACCTTGTGCTGGGCCACTCTCCAGCCGCCGTGTGGCCACCAGGCTTCCCTTCTCGTACACAACTTCCCAAGACTCGTTGCCAGAACACCACAAGTGGGTACCGTCCTTCTGACCCGCAACATACTCTCCTGACTCTTTGGTGCCATCAGCCCACGTGTAGACTCCAGGACCAGCCTTCTTGTTATGAGCATATGTTCCTTCAAAGGTGTCTCCGTTTTGAAAGTGAATAGCTCCTTTGCCATGTGCGCTGCCTTGAAGCCATTGACCTTCAAACACACCACCTTTGAAAAAGAGGGTCCCGTAGCCTTCTCGCTTGCTTCCGCACCACTGGCCTGTATATGTTGTGCCATCTCCCACTTGCATCACGCCGTAACCGCTTCTCTGACCCTGCCCGTCACGGAAGCCCATGTACACTCGGCCATTGGTCTCATCAGCCCTCTTCGGGATCTGACCAGCTTGCTGCGATGGCAGAGCAGCCACTTTATCTGCAAAATCTGTCCTGCTTGGTGCTGTGGACTTTGGCTTCGCAGACTGCCCAGCCGGCAAGAAGGATGCCAGGCTTGTCTTAGGTGGTGTCTGAGACCTTGGAGCCAAGGGAACTGCAGGCTTCCGCGGTAGGCGCTCGCAGGTGGGAGATGCATCCCTCTGCGGCCTCTGCGGGCTGCTGGGCCGTTGGGCTGTTGGAGCTGGTGGAACTGGCGGAGCTGGGGGAGCTGAGGGGCCACGAGACTTGGCGGAAGCCTTGGCCTTTTCCTTAGGCTTGCCCTGATGCTTGCTTGTGGCGAGGCTCAAGGGGCTTGGGGCCCGTGACAATGACAGTGAGGGGCTGGGCGCCTGCTTCACGCCCTGCTTCGCTGCTGCTGGAACAGACTTCTCGCGTTGCACTGGAGATGGCCTCGCCCTCGACAATGGGCTGGTGGATCGGTTTCTGACAGGGACCTCTTTGGGTCTGCAAGTGCTGGGGCTTGGTACCCTTGATGCACTAAGAGATGTGATGGGCTCTACAAGGACTGTCCTTGAGGAGCCTTCGTCTTTGATTGGTTGCTTGGTTGTGATTGTCCTTGGTGTGCTTGGACTTCTTGCGATCCTAAACGGTCCACACCTTGATGGAGGGCGTGCTCCTTGCGGGGAGCTCTCCGCCCTCGTCTTCTGGTCTTTTTGTGACAGGGCCCTCTTTGGTGAAGCGGATCTCGATGTGCTTCCAACATCTGCGTCGCCTCGGCGCTGTTGCATTCGAGGCGTGCGGTTCGGAGTGCGATTCGGAGCGTGGTTCTTGGCTTGCTGATGTTGCTTTTGCTGCAAAAGCCATCTCTGGTGCTCAAGCTCTTTTGCTCGCGGATAAGCAGGAGCCGAATTGCAGGCTGCTAAAGTGGGAGTGTGCATCAAGGTACCAGGCAAAGAGGGCTGCGTCGGGCAGGCAGAGAGACTAAGAGGCTGTGGGAGTGCAGCGCTCCGTGCCTTTGCGCTTGTGGATCTCGCAGACCTGTCAAAGGGGTCCTCCTGTTGCCGAGTGACCCCTTGCTGCTTCAGGAATTGCTCTGCAAGCGGATAGGACGACGTTGCTGCAGTTGGTGATGTGGCTTCTCGCTCTAAGCCTTTCTGACCCCACTCGTCACCCTGGTTGTCCTGAGACAGCATCTGCGTCAAGGGACCAGCCTGCAAGCGGCTGTCTCAAGCAGATTCAGCATACTTAAATAAGTACTGATCTGGACTCTTTACTGAATTCCATCAAGCGGCGTTCCGAGCTTTTGCAGCATGGCGCTGAAGCTCTGAAGGCCTAAAGGCAAGATGGTGCTTCTACTTCTTCTTGTAGCAGGAGCGAAGAACAGACACCCAGCACGTGCTGAAAAACATCAGGCACCTGCCTGGACATTGACTTTGAGAGAAGCATCTCCTGCTCCTGCTGAAGCTTTAGCATTTGCTGCTGCAGCCGGCTTGCACCGGCAAAGTGCGTCGGCACCTCCGCAAGCCGTTCTGGGGTCGCATCTGCTTGCAAGGCGTTGCCCACAGTACCATCACGCAACTGACGTTGGGATTGCATAGGCTGGTGGGGACTGCTGCCGCTTGCTGGCGCTGGCTGCACCCAAGAGTTCCTCATTGGACTAAGACTTTGTCTGTCTTTGCCGCCAACTGAATTGGGAGCCTGTTGAACCTGGGTCACCAAGACAATGGGAAACTCCGGAGAGACACAACTCCTCATCACATGGCAACTACTGCACTGTAGAATTCTGACCTCGAAGCAAGCTCAAGAACCCGAGGCTACATAACGACATTGAGGAGGGCGCTTTGGGCACCGGGTAGTCCGCCCCATAGCTTCCCGCGGGAGCGTGTCCAGGCTGCCTGCCGTGCTCGCCACAGCTGCAGCTCATGCAACGGTTGGCGGATTTGGCAGGCTTGTCCTTCCATGGTGCTCGAAGTCGTCGGGCTCTCGCATGACCCAGCCGTAGTGCGGATGCCAATAAACAGATGGGTCCTCAAGCTGAAAAAGGCATGGGAATCACAACCCAGGCGAAGTCGCTGAGTCAAGCGCATGTTCTGCATGAGCTGATTCGGCCCCGTAGACCATGGGGTCTTCGTTAGCGTGGGGCATCCTGCAACGGAGTGTTTCAGCTCAAACTTACTTGCGCAGGAGTCTTGGTGAGCCTTGGAGTTGCAGATGGCAATGTTGGTCCAGCTTTGGCATACTGCCTCCGCTCTGCTGCTGACCTGTGCGCCTGGTGGTCTTGGGTGAAGGGGAAGTGTCCAGTTGTGGAAGTCTGGGATTGCAGGTGCTCGGAAAGTGGAGAGGACACCAGCGAAGGTGCGAAGTGCTGTGGAGTCTCGTGGAAGGTGGTGGAATCATCTGCTCCTGGAGAGAGCTGTCCAGGCAAAGCCTCTGTTTCCGCCATCGGCATTCGAGCGTTCAGCTTCGGGGCAG